AGTAAATAAATGAAACAATTGTCTGCATGCTCCGATGCATTGTCTCTACTCGTAGGCATACAACGAACGGACCATTAAATGTGTGTGTACGTGTGCAATCTGATGTAATGTAATGAGTTCAAACATGTAACGTTACGTAACTCACGAGCAATATTAATTATTATTATTAAATTAAAGTTAATGCTCGGTTTTAAATTTTAATACTTCATCAACGTTGAGAAAGTATTGTTAGCCTGATGATTCGTGTAGAAATCTGCTGAACGCGTAAGATATATTGACGAGCATAGAGCCGTAGAGATACATGTACTGTAAACTCTACAGTACAAGTATGCAGCACATATAAACGCTACTCGCTTGTTGACTTTTATTAAACCGCTCGGATATCTGGATTCCTGAATTGAATTTTGGATATCGACATTTAAAAACTTTCTGTGATCGAATCGCGAGGTGAGTTGGAATCGTTTCTTAATGCAACGTGAATTTTTTATTTTTATCGTTGAATTCTCAAGGACTCTTATTTAAATTATTTATATTTTTACATTTTGTCTACGTGTAAAACGTCAAATGTAGCTGACGTTTGATGTTCACAATTTAAAATTTTTTATATATTGTTTATTCTGTATGAAAAAATAATATGGTGTCGTGACTGAGGCGTTCATGCCGTCGATCGCTTGGATGTTACTTTCATCTGTCCCTCGATTGATCTTGTTGAGTGTACGAAAGTATCCGTCAGCCAGGTAAAAATGTTCTCCATGCGACTTTTGGGAATGTTGGCGGGTGGAGAATGTTGTGTGAAGGACAGATGCGGTTGTTTGTTTTTCAATTGAGCCCGTGTAAATGGATATGCGTGATGATGATTATGATGGTCACGATGATGATGACGATGGTGTCTCTCAGATAACATTAGGATGGACCGGACGTTTATTTTTTCATACTGTGTCCTTTAAAGCACAAACCGTCTGCCAATGACAGTGGTGCAGTTGCCCGCACTGTCAAGCGATCCTATATATAAAAAATATTAATACATCAAAAACTTTAACGAGAACTTGTGAACAATGACAACAAATTAAATTAACTACTAAGGAAACCTGTTTTTGATAATATTCTCTATTTAATAAACGCGATCATAACAAATCGCAGTAATTCATAAAACTTGAATTAAAATAAAATGCCGTCTTTTAAAACTTCATGTGAAAACTATCGAAATAAATTATTATTCTTGCGTAAGGGCATCAAAATATACAAGTTTCAATCAGGATGGTGATCTGCTCAGGGCTCATTCCATAGTCCATAGATTTTCGCTCCCGGGTTTTTAACCTCTAAGGTCACTTTCAAACAGTGTTGATTAGTAAAGTGCACCTATCTAAAAAAATAATTCATGGTTTGAAAATGCATAAGACAATAATGATGATAGCTTTCTATTTAGGAGTAAAAGTTGATAAATAATAATTTAAGAGTTTCAATATTTATGAGAATGAAATTAAACGCGATATAACTTAATAAGCATAATAAATAAAATATAAATAAATAAACAATTAGAAAACAAGGGTTGATCTGGAGAACTTTGACAGAGACCAAAGTTTTACGGGACGGGGGCCAAAAACTGTAAATATTTGGCGACTTTTCTCTATCTAAAACTGTGTTTCCATGTATAAGAAATGTGTTCTCACGTTTGAAAAGTTGTTAAACAATACGCGTCGGCTAAATTTTTAAAAGATGCCAACAAAATGGTTGTTAACGGTTGATGACTGTGCCGCTCAATCTCTCTCAAACAAATTAACAAAAGTAAATTTGAATTCATTAGTGAATGAATGAATGATAGTATGAATGAATGAGTGAATGGATAGGTGAATGTAATTAATATAATGCACATTAGACGTTCCAACAACAAGATACCAAGAACTTTTATACATATGCTATCAAGAATATCAGAGCGTATGGTGGATGACTTAAAAATGATTATGGTTTCAGAAATTAGCAGCTGAAAATTTTTATAGATTCTTAACCTTGGAAAGCATGTAAAATTTTTTTTCTACTTAATTTTTAAACCGTTGAGGTAAATATTCAAATATTAAAACTTGCACATCGTCATTTGACAGCTTACGCGAGCCTTCAACTAGATGCAACAAAAACCCAATCTTCATTGGATTATGCTATTTTGTGATTTTTTTTCATCATTTATCGCAGAATACAAATTTTCCATGGGTTTTCAACTCAAGGTGAATATAAAAAATATAATAATAGTAACAGAATGAAGTTGTAGTAAAACAAAGTTTGCTATCAATTTAACTTGCCAAGCATCCTTTGCACTATGAACTCTCCTCTTCTGCTGTTTGTAAACTTTCACTTTTTTGTTGATTTACACGAAAAAATCTGTTAAAAAATGAAATTTAACCTTTAACTACCTAACAGCTAACGACAATGGATTTCTCCAGTGGAAGGGCTTCAATATATCAATACAGCCTAACGTTTCTTGAGTGAAAATCGTAAAAACTCCTTG